GCCTGGCCATTTTTTGGTTGCAGCCATCATTGTTGTTTGGCGGGCCCAGGCTGGGGATTCGAACCCCCCACCTTAGGTGTATGTGGCTGGTGCCCTAGCTGCTTGAGCCACAGGCGCCGAGCCGACTTTCTTTTTTAATTCGACTGGTATTATTTTGTATTTGTTGTAATGTTCTGGGTGGGGTGTGTGTGTGTGTGCATGCACACGTTTGCTTGCTGCCTGAATAGCTCCCAGTATAATTCTTTTTTGGTATATATTTTGCTAGCACTTTCCATATGGTGCTCAGAGTTTTTGTTATGTCATGTCCTGTGCTAAATTATAGGTCACTTTAGGGCAGAAAATGCATATTTTCACTTTTGCACATCTTTCAACTTTACTACACAGCTAAAATAATAGAACTACAATAAACATTGGGATTAAGTTAATCAGAGCTATTTGTAAATTACAACAAATTATAGTAATTGCTTCGACATGGGCCTTGTCAGAAACTTACATGGTAGAGACAAAATTGTATATTAAAAACTGACATGAAGCCAATCCCTATGCCCAAATCCTTCATTATAGATGATAAGACACTATTCTAAGTTGGAATAACCTGTTTACTTCTTTTTGTTTATAAACGTAGATGCAGGCATTCTCTGCACTCTCACAGACACATACATACATGCAGAGATGCATATATTCAGGAATATCATATCCTACAGTTTCTGAACTTGCACTCAATAACCATCTTGGTTTTAGACAATTTAACAAGCTCTACTTTATATTCAGGTGAATTATTATCAATTCTACTTATCCATTTCTAATTCTCAAGTTTCAGTTCTAATATCTTATCAACTGAAGTTTAATTATGACATGACCTCATCTCCATTTATAACCTAGTTTGGAAACTGGAGCACTATCTTGTTCTTCTCTTCCCATTTCAGTAACTCCTCTTGGGCCTCATCTGTCTAAGAGTAAGGCCTTGACTTGACCTTGATACCAGAGGGTTCCTGATATCCAAGACCATTCAATAGAATTCCCATACATGAACTATCTACATGTCTGCTTTGGATCCACATTGCACTAGGTTGTGATACTCCTGCTGTTGTGTTCTATGTACCCTCATTGGAGAAGACACATTTATCTTATTTTGTAATTTAGCTGTTTTGTCATTTTATTTCTGTGACCTATTACTACATGTGTGTCTACCTTTTTGATTGTACCAGTTCTGGATCACATTCAAAACAATACTGGGGCCTTGGAGAGGAGAAAAGATATGTACTTAGCTCTAACCTGCTCTCTGGGACAAGACAAATACCAAGAAAGTACCACTTTGGCAAATGGATAGTAGGTAAGATATGGTCTCAGTCATATTTCAACTAATATTGAAGCTTCATGTTAGAGAGCACAGTAACAGGTCTCAGTCATACTTTAACTAATATTGAAGCTTCATGTTAGAGAGCACAGCTACAGGTAAAGTGCTGGGCAAGGCTGAGAACTCTAGGCAGGCAGCCAGACAGGGGAGCTAGATCAGTCCACAGTTAATATGTATCCGAAATGGAACAAGGATCTATTAACCGAGAGACTGGCAAGCGAAATGCTGGTCAGTCAGGTTCAAACAGCAGGTTTATTACTTATGCACATAATTACTGGGAAAAGGCAACTAAACAGGTGCTTAGCATAAAACATGGCTGTCCTAAAAAGATTTGGGGCAGTTCTGAAAGACAGGACTGATTGGCTACCTTTGCTTGGCTTGGCAAGAAGGGCATGTGACTTAGAGAACAACAGTGGACACAAAGGCTGCTCTTTAACAACCACATTCATCTTCCCAGGAAGTAAATTAGTACTGTATCAATAACTATCGATGACACAATGGGGTCATGTGGGGTTGTTGTTCCCATTGCTATCAAGATCACCTAAAAACTGAGCTGGTCCTGAGCAGGAAGTGGAAGTTGTTTTGTTCAGCAAACTCCCTTGTTTATGGTGCTGGGAAAGAACAGAGGAAATGAATATGGGAGCTGAAGAGTAAGCTATCTCTTATGGCTTATCTCTTTAGCACCTGTTCAGTACCTGTGTAGTACTCCCAGGGCCTCCAAATGTACACATACCCTGTGAATCCTCTTGTTGTGGCTGAGTCATATACTGAACAATGCCATGAGGATTGAACTAATTGCATCTCTGAAGTCAACATTAAATCCTTATTTACATTTACCATGTTCAGAAGTTTTACATAATTTCAAGAGAAATAAAATTCCTTTTACATTATTCTTAAATAAAGAAAGAAAATAGTAAATTTGTTTTGGTAATGTTGAGAAAATAGCTAATAGGCCCTAAAATGTGCTATATGAATAAAGAAATGTTTTTAATTTATTTCCCATATCCTTTACATATCTGTTATATCTTGAATAAGCTTTCCTTTATGATTTCACTGCCCCTCTGCTTCTTTATCCCCTCAAAACTCAACACTTACTTGTCAGATTAATCCTGAGGGCTCCGTGAAGTAATGGAGAGATTTAAAGCCAGATACATTTAAATCTGAATCTTGGCTCCAGAATTCTTGGCAGAATGTGCCTGGGTATATTTTTAACCTCTTTATGGCTCAGTTTTCTAATACTTAAAATAGAATAATGAAAAGGTCCTTGTAATACTATGTCTAGCAAAGTGCCTGTTGCCCCGTAAATCCCTGTTCCTTTGTTCCATCCTAAAGGTGACTTTAAATACATCATCATCCTTCAACAGTGTCCTTCTTTTGGTATCA